GGCGCCCATGGAGCACGCAGCCATAACAGCGCTTCCACCGCAGCTCAGGTGTCCCTGGAAAACATACCTGGACCCCCAGACCCCTTCCTCCTTTTGCCCCCCCCAAGCCCCACCTCTCCAGGCGGAGAGTACCCTCGCTGGCAGAGTGTTGGGGTGGGCAGCAGAGAGGGTCCCTGCAAGGAGGGGCTGTGGGGGGCCAGGGGTGGCACAGGGACATGCTGTGGGCAGCGGTGAGCACTGGGTGTCTGTCCAGGCCTGAGGCCATGGGCTGCCCAGGCTCAGTGGGGAGCAGGACCATGGGGACTCCAGGGCCCCTTGCCAGTACCTTCCTGCCCATGTAGATGGGGATCCCAATGGTAATGACAGGGACAGCGATGCCCGCGACGAGGGAGATCACCATAGGCGCCCCCAGCACCATGCCCAGCTGCCACAGGATCTTCCGGGTCCGTGACCAAGGCCTCTTCCCCCAGAAGGTGCAGCCAGAGGGGCTGCAGGGACAGAGTGGGGCTGGGCCAATGGTCCCTGCGCAGGGGCAGGCAGACACCAGCACAGCCACCCTCGCGTTGGGGAGAGACCCGTGGGCCCACGAAGGAAACAAAGCCAGATTCCCCGATCCCAATCCTGAGCTCCAGCTGCCACACAGGACCCCTGCCTGTGGGGTGCTGACAGCCACCCCAGGCCCCCAGCCCTGCCAGACTCAGCCGCACAGACCCCTCTGCTCCCCCCACCCCCGATCAGCCCCACAGCCCAGCCAGCCCCAAACCTGGCTGCACATGGCCATGGCTCTCAGTAGGGCCTCACTGCCCCCCATCCTCGCCCCACAGTTCCTGGCAGGGGCCCCAGCCCCGGCCCAGCATCACAGCACTCCCAGCTCAGCCCACAGGAAGCTCCTCCAACCACCCCTCAGCTCCTGGCAGCCCCTCTGCCCCGGTCCCCCAGCGCACCCCATGGCTCCCAGTGGCCCCACAGTCCTGCACTGACCTCAGGAAGTGCACATCAGAGATCTCCTGCAGGCAGAGCCAGCAGAAGAGGCAGCCACAAACAGTGCAGTTCATGCGGTTGCAGCTCCCGTCATTGATCTTCATGATGAAGGCACTGCAGCGGGGACAGACCTTGATGTCCTCAGCCTCGGCTAGTGGGGGAGAAGGAGACGAGATAGAATGGGCAGGGAGAAGGACAGGACAGTGCAGGTCCACCCCCACACCCTGTCCCAGGATTGCAGCCCATCCCATGGGTGTCAGGGTGAGCCAGGCACAGCAAGGTCCCACTCCACACCCCCAGCTCAGCTGACACAGAGCCTACATGGCTCCGTGCACAGGCAGCCAGCGGGGACCAGTGGATCCCGGCTCCGCAGGGAGGAAGGTACAATGGCATCCGAATGTGCCACTCAGCCATGCCAAATCCCTGCCCTGCTTGCTCCCACCCTGGGCCAGGGTCTCACCATGGGCCGAGTCCTCTGGGTGGACTAGCTGTGCTGCAGGGTTGGCCAGGCTGGGGGCTGGCAGCACTGGCACACAGGGGCCATCAGGGTGCCAGGGCTG